CTATTTTCAATCACACAATTTTTCATAAAATAATATTACACGTAAATCGAAAAAAATTCCTTCTTTTTCAACTATCCATTCTCAAGAAAATACTATTCCACCCATTAAAATTTGAAATAATGGGGCCAAACGGGAGCTTAATAAATCTCGAGACGCACGTAAAGTATGTTACTCAACACGACTGGATAATGAATTATATTTCTTTTTTATTCTTATTCAATCTTATCTAATATTATGTATCAACGAAAGATACTCAAACATATTAGTAACATTAAATATTCCAACTAAATGTCGTAAAGTAACACGTAGTAAGTGGGGTTCAACTTCAATCCATTTTTCCTGTCAACTGTGTGAAAGAAGATGGATAAATTAATAAGAGGGGCCGCACCAGATTGATTCTTTGAATCTGAACTGCCATTCTATTTTGCTTGGCAAACAGTTCTTCAAACTCGTATATTTGTAGTAAAACAATCTTAAATGAGTCTCATGGTACTGAGTTAAAGTTTATTTGTGAGTTATAAAATATAATTAAGTAAAATGGATATTGTCTTCTTACGAGCCACTCTTAATGTCGAGTTAACTAGTAACGGTTGTACATAGAAAAGCCACCCTTACGAGGATAATTGTTATTATGGAAAGGGCGACACGAGGAAAGTTACTTTAAGCAAAAAAAAAAAAAACATCTATTCACTACTAAAAATCAGCTTTTCACCTACGGATAACAATTAGAAACGGATTATCCGTTAGTAAAAGTATTAGACTTTTAACTACGAAAATCACCAACGGAATTTTCGTTGGTAAAAGTGGTAGTTTTTCACCAACGGATATTCCGTGCCTAATGTTGTTATTTAATATGCTTACCATTTACCAACAACATTTCCGTAGGTGATGTAATTCAATTTTTTTCTAAAAAATGAGTCAACCTTTCACCTACAGATTTTCTATAGGAGAAGAATAGGCACGATGACAAGATTGGAACCCGTGAAATATGTTAGATGCAAAGGCGTGCTACCGAGTTACGCCACATCGTGATTTACAATGTTATTAGTTGAGTGAACTCACCTATCGCAAAATATGAACCGTTATGTACATCACTTTTGAAACATTAGGACAATAGGAACCATCTCAAGACTTTTTAAATTGTCGTTTCCGTAGAAAAACCTTTTGCGTTTATGTTGCGTTTTTTCATCTTTTTACTTTCTTTTCCACTTAACTTGCATTTCCATTCATCGAGGAAGACAAATTGCATTATAAAAGAGTCCTAAGGTACTAATAAAAGAGTTAACAAGAAAAAAAAAAGTGGTCAAAAAGACACAAGAAAAAGAAGTAAAAATCTTATTTATTATATTGTTTAGTTCTACCTCCAATGTGTGCAAGACAATTGGATCCAATTTTCATTTAGGTTTTGAAAAAAATATGTGCAAGAGAGATTATTTGTAATTTCTAAGGGAAATTTGAATATCATCAAAGGTGCAGTCATTACTAAGAAATTAGGGTTTCTTAATCATCTCGAGTTTAATTTCATTATTTTATTACTAATTTTGATTTCAAATTCCTAATATATTATTTGAATCAAAAATCATTTCTAATTTAAAATTTCTGCAAGGTCGACATGCCTTTTTTTCCTTTTTGCATAGTAGTGTTCTATTTCAACTATATACATTAAAACAAGCAATAAAAGCTATACCAGGTACATTGTACCCATCTATTTTTTATTTTTTTTTGTCATGTTCCATAAATAGCTACAAGTCAAAAATAATTAGGTCAACTCGTGAGTTTGTTTTATTATTTAGAGAAAATAAAGTTTTAAATAGTGATTTTTAGGAGAATATGTGGTTAAAAAATAAGAAAAATTTTTTGTTTTAGATGCAGAATATGAATATTTGATTGAAAATGAGTATATAGAAATGAATTTTTACATAATTGTTGTCAAGCAGGAGCTAAATAAGTGAAATTCAATCTAACTAATGAAGTAAATATTGTGGAAGGAAAATCACGCTACAAGTACAGATTTATTTCGTAGAAAAGTTTCACAGATAACACTTGGCAAAAATTCATTGGAAGATGAAGAAAAAATGGGCAAATAGGGTGTTGCCACGACAGTATCTTGTATGGATTCTGTCAACCAAAGCTTGGACTTGACGCTTAATTCTATTACCATTTGTTTTGTTCTGGGAGAATATTGACTACTACTATAATAATGTAGATTTAAAGCCTATGGTTCTACCTACACTAATAAAGAGATAGAAATAACACGAGTTGGTCAATTCATGCCCATGGTGGTTTTGCTTTCACACTTTTTGACTCTAATGGTTTTTATTTTTGTATATACTGGCCCGATTTCAATATTTCTCGATGACTAAAAACTCGTATGGAAAATTTTCACGATATTAGCATTTGTACAAGCGACCACCACGAGAACATGGTTAACACTATACTCCCAAAATGAACTAAGGCTATGTTTGATAGCCAAGGAATTCCATGGAAGTAAGAAAACGTTTTCCATTTTCCCCAAATTGTGGTGTTTGATAGCACAAATTTTCCTAGGAAAACATTTTTCACATTTTTCTAGGTACAATCATTTGATGCACAAAAACTTGATTTTGTTTTCCCACCTATTTGGTGGGAAAATATTTTCCACCCTTTTTTTTTATTGTTTGCAATGGGAACAAATTCTAGATACAATGGTTAAAAAAAATTTCACTTTTATTGACAACTTCCATGCAAAACAAAGTCAAACGAAAAATATTCGGTATGGTAAAATTTTTTTTTTTCAAATTTTTTTTTTCAAATTTTTTTTTTTTACAATTGGAACAAATTTTAGACCCAATGGTAGAAAAAATTATCACTTTAATGGACAAATTCCATAAAAAAAGAAGCCAAATGGATACCAAACTTTCAACATTTTCCATGGAAAATTATACCAATCAAACACAATTAATTACAATTCCCAGTAAAACATTTTCTAGGAAAATCAATTCCCTATAAAACATTTTCTTTCCACCCATTTTCCACCCTTACAATCAAACGGACCCTAAGAGAATTTTGCAATCCCAAGAGAAGAACAACGTTTTAATTTTCAAGTACGCGAATCGTTCTATTTTTCTTAATTTCCAATGGAAAATTAACAGGACTATGTGCTCCTATATATATATATATACATACACGTAGGTATGTGATCGTGCTCAGATTGATTCACCATTGGCAGCAGATAGTAATAGCATCTGACTAGTGTAATCTCATTTTCAAATAAAAACCTAATCAAGAATCTTACTTAAGAATCAACTTTATTTTACACGAATAACATATTCTATACATACACACTGACATACACGCGGTAATTTATTCCTTATCAGCAGCGATGGATCGATATATAACAAACGAATGTGTATCAGCATAAAAAAATAAATTCGACGTCCACAATGTAAATATATTTAGGTTATAGAGTTCACAACATTCAGTAGTAAGGAGCCGAAAGAGCTCCTTTAGTACAAACAATTAACTACTGGTATAATATATAATAGCATTCACAAAAACTTAAGCAACTTTGAAACAATCAATTTTAGGTGCATAATTATGTCAGAAGATTGACATAAAATTACACTGTTAAGGCTGCCAAGTTAGCCAACCCTAAACATTGGACATTAACTATAAAAATTGTCACCAAATTCGGATTGTTAGACGAAATCACAAGAAATATTGCGTTTAATGACGAATATTCATACAATATTAGACATTAATAAGTAATACATACAAGTTAATCCTACCCCCACAAAATAAAGGTTAAAGAAAGTTTTAAGCGAGCACCATATTTCTGGTGCAATTAATCATATCGAATTAGACATCTTATTCATTAGGCAATGTAGAGATAAAAATGTGCACTTTTATTTTCTAGCTAAGAATGATTGTGGAACTTTCTTACACAAAGTTGAGGTTAATCACCAACATCAACCAATCATGTGTGCATTGTCGGCAAGACATTTCCCACAATATTTATCTAATTGTAAGCATATACACAAACATATCTATCATTCTTTTTCATTAAGAAAATAAAACTGTATCAGGGAAAAAATTGGATCTTGTGTTTGTCTCATTGATATAAGTGGATCTAGTAAGATTTGTACTTAATTATAAGTTAGAAAGATTCATATATATTTCAAGATAATTATTAAAGTTAAGCTCCTATAGGGAAATATAATGCTGATACATGACAGCTGACCTAATGGGAAAAGGTTGATATTCAATTTTCTAATTAAAGAATTAGATTGTCTGCCAATTACATCTACCCTCTCAATGAAATGACAGCACTAATTATAGGAAATCACTAATTAATTGAATGATATCAACTGTTATGTGAGCCTAATCAAGATAAAAATTTGAAATAATATTTGACAGTGTCTTTCACAAAATGAGAAATTCTGATTCATAGACAGTAAAGTGAAGAAAAGTAAAAGTCAGAGAAAAAAGATGTGCAGAAACAATTCAGGATAAAAACAAGTAAACTGTACACTGATATATTAAGGCTGATCAGTCCTACAGAGTGATTCCAAATCAAACACTGTGATCAGATAACTTAAGCTTCAAATTGAGTCACATTTACTCCTACAACTTTTAGAAAAGCGATTGTTACAAGTCTGCAATTACTAATAGTGCTTTTAAGCCTTGCAGTTTTTGCATCCAAAGCTCAATAAAAGCTAAATATAAACTACCCCCTCCCCCTAGGTGGAGTGGGGGTGGGGGTTCACAAACACACACTTAGAAAACCGCCCAAGATCTAGGTATTGGTTGGTTAGATGTGATGACTAACAGAAAAAACACAGTTTCTTCAACTTTAGAAAAGTAATTTAACTAACCCTAAATACTGATGTAACATAAGATAGATGAGAAATAGGAAAGTTAACCATGTAAAAGACTTAAGCTGCAGCCAGGTTCTTGGAAAAGATCTAGTGAAAGATGCAATAATCTGCAAAAAAGTAGTACTGGTTTGATTTGTGGGATGTTTATCCTTCACCTGGTGGTGGTTGTGGTGGTGCTGCAGTCAACTGTTGCGGCTGCGGCGGAAGGCGCTTCCTCTTTTTCTTCTCATAGCTAATTCCCCTAGCTTTTGACTGTAAATCACGCACTTCCCGAAGATACAGCCTCACAGCTCGAGCCCCAAAAGGATTTAGCTCCGACTTTCCTCCATTTTCTTCATAGGCTGCTCGGAGTCGACCGATGAGGGCGTCGAGGCTTCCCCAAGCCTGTCGAAGGGGGCAGGGACATGGTGCAGGTGGGTTAGGGATACCATAGAAGGGGCAGATTGGGGTGTGGACTTTGGTCTTTCCAAATTGGTCGAGATATCGAAGAAATTCAAGAACATGAGCACCACTGCACCGGGAGAGAGTGAGTGGCGGCCTGTGGTTCTTCAGGTACTGTCCAAAAGTGTTCCAGTCCCGGCGCTTTTGGTTCTCGTACCGGCTTAATGTTGTTGGAGACGATGACGATGAGGTGCCTGCTACAGAAGTATTCCCAATAGTGTTGATACTGTTGTTCTCAGAGTTTGAAATCTCCACTTCAGGAAATGAATCCATTAAATCTTGAAGAAACTAAACAATTAAATGGATCTCTCAGAATAAAATCAAATTATATTTTAGCTACCAGTGGCGAATCTGAATGTGGGTATTACACAATATATCCTGATTTTCCTTTGAGATCATAATCATAACGGAGAGTGTATATATTAAAGAGGAAAGAAAATTCAAGAAAGATGAACTGATTTTCTTGATTTGAGATATGATGTTAAATAGGGTAAGTGATGATGAGACTTGAGGAATGAGAGAAGAGACTATTTGGAGTTCTTGCTTGTTTGAGCAATACTAGAAATATCAGATATTGGGGGACTCTAATATTGTTGGTAGATTTTGTAGCTATTTTTTCCCAAAATGGATGGGTGCAACTGCCCTCTTATTCTTAATGACCCCTATTTCTCTTCCTGGAGGAGAGAGAAAGTAGAGAGAGAGAGAGAGAGAGAGAGAGAGGAACTATTTTAGGGCTTTTATGGAAATGGAAAGAAGCAGAGAGTAGGTTTAGATGGAGACAGGAAAAAACGTTCAAGGATGGAGTAATACTTAAGAGAACAAGATCGCTTCCTTTCTTTATCCAAAGCCAAAGGGTTTTCACACACAAATTAAAATGCATATTGACCAAAATACCCTCCCCTCTCTCTCTCTCTCTCAAACTTTTATGTACCAAAATTTTTGATGTGTCTTTAATTAATCTTTCACTTATTGTACTAGTTTTCAGAAGAGTTAATTCGAATCAAACAAAGTCCTATAGATCATGGGAAAAAGACGTTTAATTTATATTCGTTATATGATTGTTTCCGAGATTATGTAATTTTTACGATCAATGCTATTTATCTTCAAATTTTTCCAGTGTTTTTATTTACAGGTAACTATATCGTAGCTCAAGCAAAAAGTCACAAGTGATTAGTGGCGTCACCGAAGACAATTGCAAACAGTTGTGAATTCTATGAAGAGTACAAAATGCAATTATATCATGAAACGTATCGATGTAAAAATAGAAAACTTCAAAAGCTAAAACTTTATCATCATAAATGGGGGTTGAGTGTGCGTGTTTTGTGGCATTTTTCAATTGTGAATACTGATTAGGCAATCTCTTATGGTTTAAAGCAAACTCCGAAGAAGTTGAACGAAAATTCACTTGTGTTATACTCGAGAACAGTTTTTTCTCTCATGGCTATGGACTTATGGTGTCATACTAGTTCAATCCACAAAAAAAAAAAAAAAAAAA